CGGCCGCCGCCAACACCCGGCCTGGAGCGCCCGGACCGGCCGCGGGGCGGGGGGCTATGTTTTTAATTGATCTTTTTTTTAACATTTTATTTGCTCCGTGCGATTCCGTGAGGGTGACTTCCCAGAGCCAGGACGGACCTCCTGCCGCCGCCCCCCGCTTCCGACTACCTCTCCGGGCGGGCGGCCCCCGGGAAGGGCACGGCTCCGCGCCCCTCTGGCCCGAGGGGGGGCGGGGAGCGAAAGAAAAGGACCCCTCTCCCTCAGCGGTGCGCCGGGGGAAAGCTCGGGCACGCCCCGGGGCACTGCAGGCGGTGCGGAGGGGCAGCGCTGGAGGGGAAGGCAACGCTGTGGCCCCGCGGGGCCAGGGGGCCCCAGCCTGGCTGGGAGGCGGCTCTCCGCTTCCTCGCCCGAGCGGCCTCTGCCTTCTCCCCGCCCCCGCCGCGCTGGCTGCGCTCCCCTCCTAGAGCTGGGATCCCTCGCGAGCCGGCTCGGCTGCCTCAGCCGGGGCTGGAGGAAGGCTCGTCTGGTGCTTGCCGGCTCGCCTCCGGCACACACACACCCTGCTTCCCTTCTCTGCCTTTTAAACCTACTACGCACACACCTTGTCTGCCTTTTAGACCTGCTACACACACACACCCTTGTCTGCCTTTGGATCTGCTTAATTCTCCCTCCTTAGGAGAGAGGTTCCCACACTTCGATGCCATTTCACAGAAAGGGGGTTTGGGGTTTGTTTGTTTTTAATCCTCTTTTCCTTCCCTTTGAGCTGAGCATGAAGACAAAGGGGCAGGTACTACCCCAGGGGGGTTTGCCTTTGTACCATCTGCACCAAATTAATACGCCCAACCCCCTGCTGCCACCACACTGAGGGAGAGCTCTTCCACAGAAAGCTGCTGCCCCACAGGGAGCTTCCGGACAGACAGTCAGGACAGAAGAACGGAGGAGGATTGTTTTCACCCTGACACAGACTTGCCATCTTCCTGTAGGAAAGTCTGACTGCCCATCCAGGGGCACAGCCAGCATGGTACTTCACAGGACAAACAAGCACCTGCTCTGAGGAGCTGACAGTCTAAATGAGGCCTGAGGTCAGCCAGGGGTGGCAAAGCTGTGCGGAGAATTTATGAGTTGGAGCAGTGGAGTCAGATCCGGACAGCTCCCTTGCTTATACGTCACCTGGTGGCTTCTTTTTGTGACTTTCTTTTTCATGTATATTTGGTCTTCATTCTCTCATAAATGAATCTGTTACTACACTGACAACACCAACAGCAGAAAAAGCAAGGGAAGGTTCTTTCGGCAATCTGTGTTGCAAGGAAAGACTCACAGTCCCAGGAAATTTAAAAATGGATAGCTGCAGGCAGCACTGGGGGCCAGGAGGTGACACAGTGGAGTCCTGTGGTCCTCTGCCTTAGCTAGGCCTCACTGGCAGAGGGGAATGGATATGCCATAATGCTCAAAGCTCAGCTCTACAGCAGCAACTATAATGAAATCAGATCTCTGGGAGTTGAGTCTTTATGGATGAAGCAAAGATCTTCAACCCTGCCTGGAAGAGTACAAAATGTCTCTTTCAGAAGTTAAGCTGGTGGATATGAATCTGTGCATGAACACAGAACAGTGTGTGGACACAAAGAGAGAAGGAACATGAGTGTGTTTGACCCTCTCTGACTACAGAGACTCATGCAGGGACTGAGAAAAGCTGTGGCAAAGGCACATTTTTCTATCCAATCCCTTTCTAGGGATACCAGCAAAACCTGAGCTGGGTATTTGGATAGGAGTTATATGGCTAACTTCAGCAGAGCAGAGCCTGCTTTTCCAACCAAGGGGAATCAGGGTTTGGAAGAAAGGATGCTGGTCACTGGACAGCAGCTAACAGGACTGGTTTGTTTCTATGGGGAGGAACAATGGCATGGGAAGAGAGAGCACCCTGCCTTCTCCTGCCCAGAGCCTGGCTCCAGGGAATATGAATATGCAGATTGGAAAATGAGAGAGGCTCTGGACCACAGGAGAGAAATCCATTCTTGGGGCCTGTTCCCTCACCCAGGAGGAAGAAGTGCTCCTACTTGGTAAGCCTCCTTTAGGACACTGGCAAGGCATGTCTGAGAGCCTCACCCATTTTTTATGGGAGGAAGAAACGACTCTCTGCTCGTTAAGCCTCGGTTTTTCTCCAAGGATTCTTTATCATAGTGACTTCTAACAGTTTGGCCTCATGGGCCAGATAAGTGGTGTGATGGGGAGGGAAGGGTGTGTGTCCACAGGCTGGGTTAGCACATGGTATTGATCTCTGGGCCCAATCCCACATGCTCAGATCCAGCCACACACTGGCACACGACTGTCATCTGACCTGCGGGGCTTCCCCTTGTCTGGAAACTTGGCAGCAGGGGAACAGCAATTAATAATGTCATGGCTCCCCCCCACCACATTTCCAGATGCTTGAGGAGCTCCATGGCAGGATGACATGGCTGCACATAACAGATCTGGTCTGTGGGCTGGGGGTTTAGCATCAGTACTTTATTAGTTTGCATATACCTCCCTATAGGGCTTGTCCTCCCCCCCCCCCTTCATATCATCAACTAGACAGGTTTCTTTCACTCCTGTATGCTAGTAACTTCAAACATGTCTGCTGAAGTCTTATGTTGTAATCATTTACTGTACTTTTCACAACAAATATCCCAATGCGTGTATTTCCTCTTCTTTCAGTAACAGAAAATCCCCACTGACAAGGCTGCTCTACACTAGAACAGTTTGTTATATTAACACCAATATATGCCACAAAAGGAGACTCATTCTGTTCTCAGATGCTTGGATGTTTCTGAAAGGTGCAGCAAGCCTGCTTTTAAAAACCAGAAGATTCTCATCTGTCAGTAATTCTTTCAGCCTTCAAAAATTAAAACTCCGGAGGTCCAATTCCTGTATGTGCTACATACATCTCCCCAAAAGGATGAGGTTTGGCCCTTTGGAAACAATAACAGATTTCAAATGAACATTTTCATCTGTGGAGAATTATGGTCACTGCAGTAGTTCGTGAGCCCACTTTGAGTCTCATATCTAGGGAAATAGGTGTAAGGCTCAAACTGGCTGTGAGGCGGGTTAGGAAAAGTAGGTTTCTTGCATATGGTACTTTTTCTTCTATGTACACAGTCCTAGGTTTGGTGCGTTCTAGCCTTAGGGCTGAAACTGGTGGTAGAGTAGATATCTGCATACCATCGGTGTGTACAAACATCACAATTAGATTGCCCTAATCAAATTTAGGGCAATATAGATAGCCTGGTGTGCAAGTGTTCACAGGGCTTAAATTTCCCTAAAAATGGCATACCTAGACTAGAATTTGTTCATTTTAGGAGGTGAACTAACTTTAGATTGGCTGGCCTGGGTTAACCCAACCTAACAAATGCCTGCACACAGGTAGGTTGTAGCTGTGTTGGTCTAAGGGCATGGGCAGACAAGGTTCTTTGCGTGAATCTGATATCTTTTATTACACCAACTTAAATAGTTGGAAACCAATTATTAAGCAAGCTTTCGGGTTCAAAAACCCTTCACCAGGCTAAGGAAGTTTCAGCAGTTGGTGTGTGTGCTCTTCCTGGATGGAATGAAAAGTAAAGAAGCCAGAGGCTGGGCTGGTATGCATACAAGACACATTCATAGCATAGCTTTGGGGCTGGGAAAACTGAGCAACTCACCATAGCCCCCAGGGCTGTGCTGGTTTTAATCCCCTGACTACCACCCCAGGACCTGTCAGCCCCCTCTCTGTGGACCCACCAATGCCCCCAGAACCCACCAGCTCCCCCACCCCCACAATCCCATCAGCCTGTCCCCCTCAATTTATAACTGCTTGCACACAAGAGAACCGAACTCAGCTTTAAGCAGCTCAAAGCAAGCCATCTAACCTGAGTCAGGTGATTCAAATACTTATTCACACACCATTTATGTTAGGTATTTGGGCATAAACTGTGAAAGCTGGTACATTTATTATTATTATTAATTTTAATTCTCTTTCTTCAAGTTTTTTTAAGTACTTGATATTAAATTTCCAGTGGAAACGTTGCAGAGATAGAAAATTACACAGAATCCCTAAAACATAATTTGTAAAAAATATATTTGCTGCATAGTCAACTGACAGCTTCATCAGCTGCTATAAAGGAACACAAGGGAGGAGCAGATACACAGTGCCCTGTGAAATTGAATTAATTTATTTTTGATGTTCCAGGTGTTTCATGGAATAGTCCTTGTAATTTCAGGCTTGCTGTGAAGTTATGATATGGGTGTCCTCATGAAGTATCCTGATGTATGTATTTCTTCCTTTTTCAGAACAGAGGATTTCCACTGATAAGGCTGCACTACATTAGGACAGTTTGTTACATTAACACCAATATAGGCCACAAAAGGGGACACATTTTCAGTTTCCGGGCAATTATTCTTCCAAGTCTCAGTTTGTTTCCTCTCCTTGTAACCTCTGTGGTTACAAGCCTGGTGGTCTTGTCTCAACCAGTTGTGGGTAAGGGAGCTTCACTGAATAAAAACTGTTACTCATATGGATGTAAAGGAACTGCTTGGGACCTCTCTTTTTCCTTGTAGCTAAGGTGTGGCAAGTACTGTACTAAGTGAGGGATGAGCAAGTTCTGAGTACTGCAACATGAGAAGTAGAATATCATTGTTCTATTGCATAGTGACTTGCTGGCTGGAAGTGCTGAGCAAACAGCTCTTCCCTGGGAAGTAGCCCTACATTATACAGCAACCTTTGACAATACTTTCTTTTCCTATTTAAAACACGTGGTGCAATTGAAGC